CGGCTCTTGAAAGTTCGACCTCCGAAAATGAACATCTCTAGGCCTATTTATAGGCTCTCAGGACAGTGCCCGCAAAAAGAGAAATGTCGGCCACCGTCGGCCACTGTCGGCCACCTCTGGGTGGCCGGCACTGTGCCGAGCCAACCCTGAGGGTGGCTCGGCCTTGGCCGTAAGCCACCTTGGAGTGTGGCGTGCGGCTTTGGCCGAGCCCCCGCGGGCGGTGTTTTCCGACTTTTTCGAGTCGTTTTCCGTTGTTTCCGGTTCTGTCCGTGATTCGGTTGATTGAGACTCTGATTGGTTGATCTGATTTGGCAGTAAGTTGGATTCCTGATTTGGCAGTAAATCCGCTTCTGAGTTCGAGTCCGAAATTGATCTTGATTCGATCGTGATTCGTCCGAGTTTCCCCTTGGTTGGATGGCTCGTTGATTCCTCAACTCATTAGCTTGATTCTGCACGCGGGTGGATGCATTCCGTCGCTTCTGTGCGATTCGTCGATCTCGTCGCCTCGTTGGTTCGTCGGTTTGTGCCGAGCTATGCTAGGGGACCTATAAGCAATTTTATATGCCTACAGATACCCCCTCCAAAGTATTTCAGTCTCGTTCTTTTATAGAAGAGTCTGGGATACTTTGGATATGATTGTCCCTACCTTCAGTCGGTATAACGGGACCTCGGAATGGCTTCTGTTCTTGACTCCTTCAATTCTCCAGGCTTTTCGGTGCTTTGTCGAAAGTCTGTAAGAGTTCCGGTGCTGCATTTATTGTCTGACCGTTTGTCGGAATTTTCTGAACTTGAAGTCGATTCCTTTGAGCTGACCATTGATTGTGGCGTCGAGTCTTTATGCACAACGCGTTGTCCGGCGTAGTGTGGTTGAGTTATCCTTAAGAATATTTATAAACAATATTCTCCAGGAACTTCTCAAACCAAAAATAGGGAATAGTTTATACTCATATACCTTATTGGAGTATTAAGAAGCAGTTTATACTCGTATACTTTTCGGAGTGTTTTTGTGCCTAAATGAGCTGAACCGGCTTAAAATGAGCCAAAAAAGGCAGTAAATCGGCTCAAAAAATCCTCCAACTCCTCCGAACAAATGGGAGAGGGGTGAGTGAATGATGGACTGAACCGTCGCTCGATTTGAAGTCGTTTCGATGCTCGGTTCGGCTTCAATTTGGATTTTGGTTCGAACTGGGTCCGGTCCGGTTCGGTTCGGTTTGGTTCAACCCGGTCCACCTTATATAAAGGGGGTCTTTTTCTTTTCTTTTTTCTTTACCCTAGGGCCGGCCCCCCCCTTTTTGCCTCCTTTTTGAATTTCTCTTCCCTCGAGCCTCCGTTCTCCCTCAAAACTCGATCTTCGTCTTAGATTCATCCTTCCTTTTGATCCTTGACTGAGAAATCCCTCGAAACTTCCATATTTAGACTTTCCTTCGAGCCCCTCGAGCGCGTGGTTCGAGCACTTCCAAGATCTAATTTTTGTCGGATCCTCGAGCTTCCCCTCAGGTATATCTCCATAATCTTGATCTATTTCATGTTTGATCTAGTGTATGGAATAGCGGGATCGCATATAAGGGTTGAGGGAGTGATTTGATGCCTCAAGCTCGCCTTTTTAGGGGATAAAAAAGTGATTTTTATTTCTAGATCTGACCTCTTGAATTCTTTTTCTGTAGGCCATTATGTCGCGAGTATCGAGAGGTCGTTTTCCTGCTGCATCGGTTGATGGCGCGCCTCCCTCATATGCTGGTGAGCAATTTTTTGACCTTTTTCGAAAATTTACAAATTAGTCCTCTTTTTTCTGGATATTTGCAAATTAGTCCATTTTACCCCCCGTTGTTCTCCTTGGTGAGGCAACCGGGAAAGGCCTTGGTTCTCCTTGGTGAGGATCGACGCTTTATGGAAATTTTGCAAATTAACCCTCTTCTTCTGAGAATTTTGCAATTTAGTCCTTTTACCCTATTTTGCTCTCCTTGGTGAGGCGATCGGGAAAAGCCTTGATTCTCCTTGGTGAGGATCGACGCTTTAAAGATGGGTTTTGCTTGGTCAAAACCACATCTCATAATAAAGGGGGCGTTTTGACGCTGCATTGTGCTTTATAAGGCAGGGATATATTGTCGATATACCCTATCTTATAAATGCGCAATGTGGCCAAATCGTCTCGCCCTTTATAAGGCAATGACTCTATCTTACCAATTTGTAAGATGAATTCAATTTCCTTTTATATCTGAAATTAACAAACACTTAACTGCTTGTTTTCAGTGGAATATCCTTCCGGAGCTTTTTCATCGCATGCGGTGAATGGACGTCGTGATGAGTATTATTCCACATCTGATGACTTTTCGCCCATTCCGTTCACCTCCCAGTTTGCTCCGGGCACGTCGTTGGAAGTTGTCCAAGTGGTGAGGGAAGGTGGCCATCAAGCTCTTCGCCAGCTGATCACAGATGCGCCTCTCGTGCAGGATGCCAGTTCCGTTCAGTCTCTTAGGAAGACTGACTTCTTGTTTGGAGACTCTACCAGGGATCCCGATGCAGTATTTATTGAGGCTGAGCAGTGGCTTTACCAGACTGGCAGTCGTTATATGTATTTGCCGAAGATTCCTCGACACCGTTCTTTGACTGAGCTCAGGCGCCAAGCTGTGAAGCGGGAGATGTCGTGGAGTTTGACAAAGGAACATGAGAGCGTTCACTGCGGCTATATTACTCATCAGGCAGTTCCTGGTTCGAGTCGAGATCACATTGTTGGACTACATCCTGGAGTACTGGGGCTAGATACTCCGCCTCGCAATGAGTTCCTCACCACTGCTTCTACTTTGAGGAATCGCCTCGCTATCTTAGGACGGGAGATGCCTGCACCGCGCCACAGATTCTATGGTTGGGTCCATTCTTTGGACAGGTTTTGGTGGGCTCGTATGACGAAGTATGTCTTGAGCCGATGGAGCGAGGAGTTACATGCTTGCGGTCTTTATGCAGCCATTCGGGCCACTATGCATGGCTTGCCTACAAGCGCGAAGCATTTCTTTGCCCTATGCGAGCTTTATAATCCAGATTCCAACACTTTTCTGACCAGGCACGGAGAGTTGGGCTTGGCTCTACATGAGATGCACAAGATTTCTGGTTTGCCCATGGGACAGATGTTATACCAGGAGTACTTTCCCTCCAACCATGAGTTGAGTCAGCTGAAGGATCGCATGCCCGACCGCTACGAGACCTTATGGGATCTCACTTGTCATTACCACATTGCTTTGGCGCAGTCTAAGCCCCTAGCGAAGAGGACCAAAGCAAATGTGAGCCTGAAGCAGTTCGCATCATACTTGTTCAGGAATCTGGAGAGCCATTCTGGCCAATCTATTTGTGAACTGGCACCGCTGACTCCTTCAGAGGTTAATGAGCTGCTGAATAAGACTAACGCCCAATCCTATACCATTAGCAGTTCCGAGAGCGGCTTTCCTGCAGGGACTAAATTCAGATCGTTCTTATATCATGCGACCGCACCGATTCGTCCGATGACTCTCCTTGCCGGTTATCTCGCCATCTGGTTGAAGAAATGTGTGGTCCCGTATCAGTCTGGTGACGCTCTGCCACTGGAAGTGCTCTATCCTGCCGTTCAGCTTGCCTACAAGAAGGAACTTTCGCTTCTTCCGGTGATGGTTGCTAACATTCATCGAGGGCTTCGGCAGATTTCTGGTGCTTTTACACGGAGAGATGATGATAAACCGACTCAGATTCCTACCATTAAGGTGGAGCTTCCGTATATTTATTTGATGGCTTGGTTCGTCCTTCATCGTTCCGATGTGATGTCGGTACCGAATGCCATAGACCAGTCTGTCCCCTTTCTACAGCTGCTTGAGAATGGTGAGTGGGAGGGCCGAGGATTCACTGATATCAGGCGTCAGCTACAAGTCCACAAGTGCTGGGCATTCTCCACTTGCTTTCTACAGTTCTCCAGCCGGTACGGCGAGTGTTTGATTGATGAGGAGAAGCCGAGGGAGTATAGGACTTATCT